GGGGTGCGCAAAGAAGAACCTTTCTTTCTATTCTATACAATGTGTCCAAAGAGACATACAAATGTCAACAGACTAGCATTCTTGCACATCATTCTAGAAAGGCAATTCACCCCTAGAAAATAAAACATGAGAATTTAAGTCAGTAAATATTACATTTGCTTTGATTCCATTTTGTAAAACTACAGGTGTAACACCATGACACATTTATTCATGATTATTTGGGGATGGTAGAATTAGTGACTTTACTATTTTTCTTCTGTCATAACTTATACAGTTTGCAAAGTGACAAAGCCAAAAATTAAAAATTACAGGGAAAAGAGAATAGGTTCTTGCTAGTTGCAAAACTCTCAATTTCCTAAAATCCTATTTTCCTATCAGTAAAGGGAACTGTCCCAGAATCAATCATGGAATCAAAGGGTTTGCTGAGTCTTTATTTGCATTTCTGAGAATACAGTCAAAAACAAAGGAATGAAAAGAAACTAGAAGGACTAGAACCATATTTTCTTACTTTGGCCCCTGGGAGAAGCGGCAAGGAGCGATGGGAAGGATGGAAGAGGGGGAAGGAGACACCAAGTATGAAAACAAACACTTAGCAAAAGCAATTATCAATGTGCTAAGACCACAAGGAAAAGGTGAAAAGGATTGTGGAATGGCGGGAGTGCAGAGTTAAGTATGGTTGGTTGTAAAGGGTGGGAGAAGCAGAGTGATCACTGAGAAAAGGTTTGAAGTGTTTTGTCCATTATTTTAGCTTAGGAAATGCTTGAACAAATGCCCTTAAGAAGGACTCTTCTAGAAAGTAAGAAGCTAAAAACACTTGAGAGATGAAAAATTCACAGTAAATGGTTTTTGACAAGTGAGTGTCAGAGCTAGGAGGTAAGGGGAAACAGAGGATAGAGATCATCACACACACACACACACACACACGCGTGCGCGCCACAGTTTAAAAAGAAAAACAGATGAAGGAAAAGAAAAGAAGACAGGAAAGACAAGCAGGAGGGGCAGAAGAACAAACAGCTTGTTGTGCAGTCCAAGACAAGCCCCCCAAGCACCTATTCCCCAGGCACTGTGCTGCCTAGAAGCTCCTCTCCACAGACATTCTCGAGCCACCAGTACAGAGAATGCAGCAGGGATAAGATCAGGAATGTTTCTTTCCTTCTAAATAGCAGGAAAATGCCAAGAATGGGTATAAATACAGGTAAATTTACAGACTTGTTGCAGAAATTAAAGGCTCTGACCTTTGGCAGTTCCTATGTAGTGTGTGAAGCAACAGACAAGATCACCTTCTGACAAAAGCAGCAAAGGAGGAGTCACTGGTGGTGTAAGAAGAACATAAAAGAGGGAGCCTGGGTGGCTCTGGTTAAGCGTCCAGTTAAGCTCAGGTCATGGTCTCATGGCTCGTGACTTCAAGCCCCGCATCAGGCTCTCTGCTGTTAGTGCAGAGCCCGCTTCAGATCCTCTCTCCCTGCCTCTTTCTGCTCCTCCCTGCTTGCATGAGCAGTCTCTCGCTCTTTCAAAAATAAACATTAAAAAAAAAGAAGAAGAAGAACTACCATGGAGCACATCACTGGCTCAACTGGTGAAGCATGTGACCCTTGACCATAGGGTCATGAGTTTGAGCTCCACCTTGGGACTTCACGTTAAAAAAAAAAAAAAAAAAAAAA